AAAGCTAACAAGATTGCGGCACATTATGAATTCAATAAACCAGCTATTTAATTACTTTTGTGCATATCCACAAAAATGGAATATACTATAAAGATTCTGGACAAAAAAACTCGTAATTTTGGACATGCATCATCAACCATGACACAAAGTGAGGTTCTGCAAATTTTTAGACCTCCCCACCAAAAAAAGAAAAAAAAAATTGCAAAGATCCAAAGGTTCCTAAACTCATTTTCCGAAAACTTTGCAAAATCTAGAAGCCCCCTTCTAAGGAAGTAAGCAAAATCAACAGTCATAATGATATGAACATTTTACCTTAGAAGCTAAAGCAATAGCTCTTGAATCAGCAGTGTCTTCTTCAACATCTCTTGTCAAACTGCCTCTAGTCAATGTTTTCTCTGATGAACTTAAAGATGACTCAATATCTATAACAGCACCTCTATTTACAGCGGACAGGGAAACAGGTTGTAACATATGCTGCTGCTTCCCATCCAAGGACTGAAATGCAGTAACTTGAATTCTTCCAACCTAGAAAAGTTCAAAGATTTTAAACTTATCTATGCTCACAAAAAAGGACCATTTAAATTTGTTAATTGAAACATCAAAACCTGGAAGAGAGAGGGGGGGTAACCTTTTGGGCATCCTCACTGAAACATGAAAATATCAGTCCAATAAACCCAGAATCTAGAAGTTGATACATGGCCTGAGTCCGAACATCTGCGGAAATCACAAGAGAAGCATAATTTGGTTTCAACAGACTATAGAAACTCTAACAAGCATTTTGTTTTCTTTGAAAAAGACAATTGTACAAAGTTAATCCCATTGGCCCAAATACATAGCTAACCAGCATAAATTACTAACATAAGGTATTAAGAACTTAATGCATTTTTGGCCTACACATTCACGCAAGTGGCATCATTAGCAGCTTCACTTTCTTTTAGTCTGCCATAAAGAACTAGTTTACGAGAATGTATTTCGGAGAAGTTGGTACAATCTGTAGAATTAGTAACACAAGTACTGGATGTACTACTACTCTCTAGCATGTTCCCAGATGCAATAGCTTTTAATGATTCATCATTTAATTCTTTATATTCTTCCATGTCTTCAAACAGTTACACCTTTCCAAGAAGTGACTGAGAAAATTATCAACGAGAAAAATTAATAATTAAGTAATTTGAAGTGAATCATAAAGAGTATAAAAATAAAAATTGCAGAATTTAACTGGGACTTGACTAGTTTATCACAAAATTACACAGAGTGGGACCACATGAACTATGTGACAAGAAGGGACAATGCATGTTTTAAAGAGATTGCAGGTAACAGGCTTCTTTCCTAAGAAGTGTTACACCAATTGCTTTAGCTCCTTAGCAGTTCTTGGAAATCAAATGAAATTTCCCAGAAAAGAAGAAAAACCTAAACCAAAATAGAATCCCTTTAAAACACCAAAAACTTACCAACGTGGGATGGAAATACTGTAATATGAGGGTGAGAGTGGTACCAGCCAATCACTCTTGTTGTTCTCCCCATTGCCAAGGTCATTTTGTGCTGTAGAGTTAATTTTCCAATGATATAAACGGATGCATAGTTAATTCTATGTATAGCAGCAAAGCACAGATGACCATCGCTAGATGCCTAATCACATGAAAGTTTTTGAGTTCAAAAGATGATGGGGTCTAGGAATTAATTGAGTCACAAACTGCAAGCAATAAACTGATTCCTGTTTAAGCTATTTGCTTATCATTTACCAACCAACTCATTGACATAAATGACTTAATTAGACATACGGAATCAAAAAGCCTCAAATGTTTTCCTTTTCTAAGTAAAATTTAGGGGAGAAAGGTTTTAACAATATATCTACCCATACTATTTCATCATTATTGACACAATTGTATGTTGAGAAAAATGAGAATAGTTGGCAATCATGTAATGTACAGAATAATATAAAAGGATATCTCTGCATGAGCTGATGCAGCAGTCAACTGCTCGGGATTAGTCTCTACTCGATCCTTCCTCCGATCGGAACGAGGCTGAGGCAACGCACACCATATCAGAGCAGTCACACTACCATTTCTTGAGGGCTGAATTTGCAAAACAAAAAACCAAATTAATCATTTCTTGCAAATCGATAGATGTAATTATGAACCTTTTATGCCAAATCAGTAAAACCAGAAATCCCAAAATGTAAGAATGTGACATAGTGAACAGAATAAATACAAAACTAGTATAGTCTGAATCGACACACTATTCAGCAGACATGGAAAGATAGCAAGAAAACCAATTTGTGATCCAAGGCCAATGCTGCCAAAAAATGCTTAATATAGAGTTCTGGCAACGCGTGGATTCATTTTATGCTCAAAAAAATCTAACACCAAAAAATGTCAAACAGAGACACTCAGCAGTATAAAGCACTAACAAAATCCATCGAATAACAATACAGACTTACTGAAGAACAAAAATGCACAATATAACAAAATTAACAGAGTAAACGCTAGATGTAAGAAATGCATCCTATTACTAAAACACAATTCGAGTATAATTCAAGTAGGAATTTATACTCAATGAAAAAATGCAACATATGTCACATGTCTATATAAGCACGTCTTTGTGTAAAGAAAACAAGCGAACAGGAAAAGTGGAAAAGATAAAGGCAGTTGAAGATGCTATAGCAGTACAAACATAAACAGGTAGAAATGATGGAACACTGATGCCTGTAAACGTAAAGCTCTGATAGGGAGCAAAAGTAACTAGGCTAGGTAATAATCTCCAGAGGAGACAAATAAGAAGAATGAATTGGGAAGAACCGTCTAATGCACATAAAATAAAAAGCCTATTGAGAGCATGGTTCAACGTGTTTAAGAAAATGTGCAATCCAAGTTTTCTCCATCCCAAGCAAAGATAAAGTTGGGATTTTTTTTTAATTTTATCCTCTTAATTTGCTGGAACGGATGATTCAAAATCATACCCCTCAACTCTTTCATATTTTGGATTGGAACTAATAAATTATCTGAAAAAATAATTCTCAAACAACAAAAAAAAAGAGAGAAATTCAGAAAACCCCAATTGACACACATCTCTTAAAACTCAATTAAAACACCCCAATTGAGGAAAAAGTAAAACCCTCCAAGCTCTAACGCTATTTCATATGGGATATAGGAACAAAATTCCAACTTAACACATCTACATAAACTGCAATAAACCCTAAAAGAAAGAATAAGCATGATCCTTTCTTTATTTCATTACTACCTGAATGTCACCAAGAAGAAGGCCCATGATTTCTTCAGTCTCAGTCGACAATGCATGCGTCAGGCATGTTAACCACACTTCCTCTGTCATCTTCACTGCAGTTAGAGACATCCTCGGTCTCAAAATTGCTGCTTTGTCTTCTTAAAAGCTGCAATGTTGATTGTCCTATATTTGTATGTGCAGGAGGGAAGAAGAGGGGTTCTGCAGAACTAAACCAAACAAACCGGGGAACAAATAAAAGAGAGATCGAAGGGACTCCCAAACTCAAACTTAGGCTGCCTGACGGAACTTGCAAGGTGAGTCAGAGTAGTTATAGTGTGTGGCTGATGGGAGATGAGTTGAACTGCACCAATTAATCAAGTCCGTCCATTGTCTTGGTCTGTCAAGATTTTCCTCCTCCTTTTTCAAGTTCTTTACTTTCTACTCCCTCCGTCCCACTTTGATAGTCCTGATTTCTTTTTCACGCAGTTTAATAAAAAGTTGTTAACTTTGTTGGAACAATTAATTTAGGTAGCTATTTTCTTAAAATACCCTCACATTAATTAATTAGAGTACAACTTTATGGGAACTTGAATTGATAGTAAAAAAAGAATCAACTCTCATTAAATGGGATAGGTTTATAATAATAACAACTTACATTGAATAAGGGTATTTTAGAAAAATTAAAATACAACTACATTCTTCAATTGGAAAGTGGACTACAATTTGGGACAAACGAAAAAGGAAAACAGGACTATCAAAATGGGACGGAGGGATTACTGTTTATTTTCATCCACTTTTTTTGTAATGAACTTCTCCACTTATTTACTTGCTATTATTACTACGTTCTTCTTCCCCATTAATCGAAATAAACGAGATGATACATGAGCTAACCAAGAAAATTGCAATAGATTATTTGGTGCAATTGTATAGGAATAGCTCATTACAAGAAGTTATGATCGCTCATCAAGTTTAATTTATTTAATGCACAATTTCATTTGCATGTATAACTAATGTCTATCAAATTATCAACAGTAAAAAGTCACAATCTCATTACAATGAGATTGAGATTAAAAAAATATCTTATAAGTATCAACTTTTGTTTTGGTGTTCTATTACAAACCCCATGGAACATTAAATGCCCTTTTTTTATTTAATGAGTTTTTACAATAGATATATCTAAAAGAAATACACCATAAGTATACGCTACAAGATGGATTATTCTTGTAAATCTTGTATAAAATTGTTGGGAAATTTTTTATTGTCTTCCTTAGCATGTACCAATTGAGTATGACTAGTTTTACCTAAACATATTCAAAGTTCACCAGCTAATAATAATCGTAGTAATTTAGTAGAAAATAAATATTCACCACCTAATAATTGTAGTAACTTAGTGGAAATCAAATATCATTCAAACAAATTTGCCAGGCTGGCGATGCCATTCGATTTCAATCAGCCTTAATAATTACTGCCCCTGTATGGTTCCAACTTCCAACTTCCAACTTCCATGGGTGTTGCGGAATTTTTGTGGAGTTAAATTAAAGAGAACCTAACTTTGGGGCCAGAATTACATTTTCTGAAAATTATGCCTGTGTTTTTATGCTGTTTACTTGTTACTTGCATCCTGACTGAAAAGTGAAAACACACGGCCGAAACATTTTGCGGCTCTTCCGTATCTCTCTGGTACTCAAAAACTGACAAACCAGTTTACTGTATAACCCAGCAAGGTGCAAACCTCTCTCGCTCCCCTCTTCCTCCTCCCCTTCCTCTTGCCCCTCCCCCTCCCGCTCCCCTCCCCCTCCCCCTCCCGCTTCAACATCCCATCAAAGTAAACAAAAAGAGATACAGATAAGCAGAAAAAAGAAAGACTTATGCTCTGATTATTCCGGGCCTTTTTCTCCTGAACAAATTTTGTTGACTCCCCGGAAAGATCATCACTCTTCCATGGCTGCATGTAAGCCCCGCACGCCCTTTACATTTAAATTTTGTAATGTACCTTTGCATCGCTATTATCATCAGTAGATTAAGTAAAAATTCATTCTTGTTAAGTTGAATGTTAAAGATTCAGTTTAGAATTGCTTTTGATTGGTTCCGTCCGTCTCTTTTTCTGTTGTCGTCAGTTTTTATTGCTTATTTAATTCTCCATATATCAATCTTCTCGGATGGTTTGAAGGGCATATGACTAATGCTATTCACGTGCTTGTATGTTCTAGGTGGTTTTGGGGCTTCAGGACTTAAGATATCAAGCTTGAATCTGGGTTCTGCCAGACCCAAGTTCAGTGCATTACAGCCCTTGAATGGTTTTCCAGTAGGAATTTTAAAATTCAATCAGTTTGATGGCTTGGAAATAGTATCGGCTAGGTCGAGAAGGGCTGTTGCAGGGTGCAAATTTTCAGCTTCTGAGGCTATCTGTGAGTAGTGTTTTTTTAATCCTAATGCATTGCTCCATCATACAAAATTGAGGAACTTTTTGTGATTGTTCCTTATTTACATTTTCAAAAGTGTCTTTCTCAGTTTCGTGCTTGTCTTATTAGTTGCTCGCACTGAAAAGATTACCATCTACTTGAGATACTAAGCAATTAGCATGTGCATTGGTCATCACCCAATTACGTAGTTTGGTGAAGCACTTCTTTGTACATTGTTTCTGTATTTGCTCGTCTTGGTCAGAGACGCCTTATTTATTTGTGAGCTAACCCATCTGGTTGCACAGTGTACAGGTTTGTACAGTATTGTTTACCTGTTTCTCTTTGGATGTTGATTACTTCTCATATGATAAATCTTCAGTCTGACTCCAGATTCTGCTTTCAGTATTCACTGTTTATTCTTTGGTTTTGGCAAGTGACGATCACTGCAAAAACAGATGATTCTCCTGAAGGTATTAGATCCTCTAATGGAGCGAGCAAACTCATTCTGAATTCGTTCGAGGTATAATCACCTTGATGTTGCATCATAGACTATGTAAAAATATGCATTTGCTTGTTTACATGGAAACAGTATCAATTGCTTGTGTAGTTTTGGGTTCCTCATTCTTCCGCTCTTGTTCATGGAATATTGTTGTTTCACTTATATTTGGTAATAGAAACATTTTAATCCCACGGACTAACTCCGTATTGCGTTATGCTGCTTAGCAAGCTCTTTGAAGTTTAGATGTCATTGTAAAATGGAGGGCACTTATCATATTGTTTCATGGAACTTGGAAGTCTAAGAATAAAATAGTTGCTTTTAGACTCATGGAGGACTCTAACTTGATTTTTATGTTCTTAAAAGATTCCTAGGATCAAGGAAATACAAATTAAATGAATGGGTAGAGAAGGAGATTACATGCTAAGTTCGAGTCATAAAAGAAGATTATTTTGTCGAACAATGTGTGAATCTGTATTACATGTTTCTATATAAAAGTCCGTTGAGGCTATTAAAGTAAACTAGTTTGTTCTTCTTTTTGTTTCCTTTACATGTAGAAGAGTAACTCTTGAATATCCTATGATTTATTTCTTATTTGCATCTGTGAGTTTGAATAGAAGTCTTTCTTTACCACATTAGGAATATTTTGTGTCTTTTGAATTTAATGTTACTGAGAGTTTCATTTGTACAGGTGGAATCACTCATCAAGGAAGTATGTGATACAACCTCAATTGCGGAGCTTGAACTAAAAGTGAGCACCTTTTTTCCCCAACATAAACCCTACCTACCCCCACCCTCCACAGAAAGGCTGGTTTGGGAAAGAGAAGTTTTATATTGCATCTCCTCGATCAGAACTCCTATTTATTTGGATAAGAGGCCATGTACTAGGACCTTATTTAGATGCTTCCCTCCCACAACAAAAGAAGCCTAACTTATGATCTTTTTTTCCTTCGACCCTTCTGTTTGTGACTGTCAGCTTGGTGGATTTAGACTGTATGTGATGAGGAACTTGGCTGTGCCAACTCCAGCTTCTGCTCCAATTAGTGTTAATACAGCCATTGATGTACCTAATGAGAATGGATCTGCGTCATCAACATCCTTGGCCATCTCCAAATCGGAACCTTCTCCAAGTGATATACAGACATCACTGGTTAAGGCAGCAGATGAAGGCCTTGTGATGCTTCAATCTCCAAGGGTGAGAATGTTATAATTTCTGTTTGCTTGATAACTTTTACCATTGCTAATTTTCCAGATGCTAAGCATGTGACATGTGCAGGTGGGATTTTTTAGGAGATCAAGGACTATAAAGGGAAAGCGTGCTCCTCCGTCTTGTAAAAAGGTGCACCTCTTGCATGTTCATGTTAATTACTTACTCAATGCAGTCTGGATGATTCTTGATCTATTGCCTCTACTTGGTAGAAACACAATGCATTTTTTACTCATCAAAATGTTGTGGACGTGCTTTTTCATCTTATATCACGGCAAGTCAATTTGTAAATTTAAATGCTATTATACAATAACTTCTGGAGATGATGGACTATTAGATGATAGGAGGTAATAGGATTAGAATGGAATTTGACTGGTACAACTCTATGCTGTGCCAAAGCTTTGAGGTATGGCAAACATTTTCTGATATCCTTATCATACAAGGGTGCCTGCTTGAACCCCTACCTGCCTTCTGTGGACTCTTATCCTTGTCCACTGCATTAAGTTCCTTTTCCCCCCGAAATTGAACATGTATAGGTTGCTGCAAAAGGTTGCTAGTTTTGAGTCTTTGACAGAAGTATATCCTGTTATATCTTTTAAATTAGGATATTAGGATATTTTTTTTAATTTTTTGGTCTCTGTTATTTTCAGCTGAAGCATAAACAGTTAAAGCAGAGAATGATTTTCACTTGCTTTTCTGCACATGAGTTCTTTCATTAGTTTGGTTTGGCTATACTTGAATTTTTCACATGGCTAAGCTTATGCTTCTGTTCTAAATACTCCTGTAAGAATGCATTACTGTAATTTCTCTGTTAATTCTATGTTAAAGCTGCCTATTACATAACATTGACAAACTTATCCAATTTGCTCCACAGAAGCAACAGGTAAAAGAGGGCCAAGTGCTATGCTTCATTGAACAGCTGGGCGGCGAGATTCCTATCGAGGTTCGGCCTTGACCATCTGTTTCTTCCCACTTTTAGTTTCCTTGGCTCATGAATAACTAGTTGCAGCCCATATCTACTAGACAGTGAGAGTTATTTATATACATTCTTTCCCCCTACTTTCAGTCTGACGTATCTGGAGAGGTTGTCAAAATACTTCGAGAAGACGGTGGTATGCTTCTCTCTTTAGTCTTCACTCTTGTGTGTTTTTAGGGTTTAAACATCTTGATAAGTTGTGTGTCATAATGCAGAACCTGTTGGATACGGTGATGCTCTTATTGCAATCCTTCCTTCATTCCCAGGGATAAAGAATCTCTAGTGTAGATACTTGTGCGGCGGCCATTTCACCTGGATGATATACAGTATATCAGATGACTTGAGGGAAATCTCTTAGGTGGACTTGTGAAGAGAATATGTTTCCATAGCTGCTAAAATGTTTTCGCCTTCAAATTTTTGCACTAGATGGTTTACCCTTCATGACGGATTAAATATTTGCTTTTTCTGTTCTTGTGGACAACAATTTCCATACAGGCATTGGATGATGCTGAGCATGTTTCAACAACCGACCGCTGAGTCTTTTTCTTCTTCTTCTTCTTTTTTAACAAGAAAAAAAAGGTAAAACCGTGAAAAAAGTAATGAGAGAATGCTATGTGGTCACAAGGCATCTTGTTAGCGCCTTTTATTACAATCAGATGCAAAATCCTCTCCTTAGCAATAATTTTACATTGCCAACGAAGCTCTGGTTTAATATATCAAAGTCAATGAATTTATTCAAGTTTTTCGATAAATGTTTCGTAGCACATATAAAAGAAAAAAAAAAAAAGGAAAACCCTTTAAATTACTAGGACAAAAGTTAAGAAGGATTGGGAGAAGGGGCCGGTACAATTGGGATTTTAGTACAATTATAATTGTGTGGTTTGTACATTTTTCATGGTTAGGTCTATACTTACATTTCTTTATTATACATATCATTTTTGTTTTTGTACAATAATGGTGCATTTGATAAAACTGAAGTCTGAAAACTGAAATATGAATCCATTAAGATATTGAATTATTAAGTATTAAATCAAATAAATTTGAGTATATATATCGCATTTAGTAATAAATAAATAACTTATCACTTAATTTTGGGAATAAATTTTGTCTAAAAAAATTCAGTGCCACGTAATTAATTCAGATATTCAATTTTTTATTAACAAACGCGTTTGAATATATTAAGATATGAATCCATTAACTTTAAACGCTGAATTGAGTTATCAAATATAACCTAATTTAATAATTTAATACAATCATAATTATAAACGTACAACGCTTTTTCTTGAAAAAAGGTCCAAGAACTGTACCAATAATACAATTGGGCCAATTGTACTGGCCTTTCTCTGAAGAAGGATTGCTACGTGTTTCCGTCACGAACCCTCAAGCAGTTTCTGGACTACAAATTAAATATTATACCAGGCTTACCATGTTAAAAAAATTTTCTTCTAGGAGCTTAAATTGTCTGCAATCCAGTTTCTTGGGAATAGCTGAGGTGCCCAATAAGCCCATTAAGAACGAAGTTGATTTATAATTGCAATCCAATAGTTGTTGAGCCAACTTCACCCAACCCCATTTTAAGGGCAATTTGGTCTTCAAAAATCCCATATCCTCCTCCTCCAGTCCTCCTGTATAAATACATCCAGCAAAAAGGCTAGTCGACCATTTCCGTTGATTATTCAAGACAGGGTGAGGTGACTCAGGTGAGTGGGTGCTTACGAATTCTGACATTCTTGGAAACCTTCTTCCCCTCGAAGCTGCCGACGTTAAAATTTCGGGAGTACCCTACCCTTTCTTTTGACCAAGTCCCGCCTGCAATTCGACTTCTTCTCAGACGAGGTTAATCACTTTCTTTGTCTTAGCTTTTACGTTGTACAGTTAATCAGAAAAGAAAAAATTGGTTCTCCTCGCTTTATTGAAGTCTTTTTTTTTTTAATTCCTGTGTAGTAGATATTGAAGTTTTTTTGCACTCGTATGTGATAGATAAGAATATTGTTATTGATGATTTTTCTTGGGTCTGAAGAATAGAGGGTTTAGACGTTTATCTGTCTGAGATGGGTATTAAGCTCTAGTTTGACTCTAATGCTGCAAGTTCATGTCTTGGCGGATTATTCATCAAGGAAGTCAAAATAGCTTGGGAGTGATTTTTTTTTTTTTGTGTGGGTTTTTTGGCGTGGGGGGGGGGAGGCTATCTTGTTGGTAATTAGTTTTCAGTTTTAGCGGAAATGGAATATAACTGGTCCCAAGATTTCTGCTTTCAATTGATTATATACATAACAGGTGCTTGGGGTTGGGATTGGTTTGCCTTTTTTTTTTGGTGGGGGGGGGGGGTGGGGTGGGGTGGGGTGGGTGGATGTGAAGAGGTGATGAAGTATGAAGGAAGCAATTTATATCAGTTTCAATGAAGATATTTGAAATCTGAATTTGACATGTTAGGCCAAGGATAATTTGGTTGGCATTTTCTTGCTTGCTGTTTGTTTATTAGCTTGGAAATTTAAGGAGGTCTTCTTATGTATTCAATTCCAGCTTACTTAATTCGGCATTATGTTGCAGGCTGGATAAAAACCATAAGCAATTTATCTGACTGCATGGTTTGTTAAGCAATTTATTTGACTTCGTCATTTGTTAAGCAATTTATCTTCTCCAGCCATCTAGACAAAATTCAGATGAAATCTTACTTGTGGTGGAGGGAAAGAAAGGGAAGCCTAGTTATAGTATATTTTGTTTTGCCTTTTTTTTTTTTGGGGGGGGGGGGGGGGGGGGGTTGGGTGGCTGGATGTGAAGAGGTGATGAAGTATGAAGGAAGCAATTTATATCAGTTTCAATGAAGATATTTGAAATCTGAATTTGACATGTTAGGCCAAGGATAATTTGGTTGGCATTTTCTTGCTTGCTGTTTGTTTATTAGCTTGGAAATTTAAGGAGGTCTTCTTATGTATTCAGTTCCAGCTTACTTAATTCGGCATTATGTTCCAGGCTGGATAAAAACCATAAGCAATTTATCTGACTGCATGGTTTGTTAAGCAATTTAATTGACTGCATCATTTGTTAAGCAATTTATGTTCTCCAGCCATCTAGACAAAATTCAGATGAAATCTTACTTGTGGTGGAGGGAAAGAAAGGGAAGCCTAGTTATAGTATATTTTGTTTTGACTTGGAATCGGCAGACTCTTGCTGATATTCAATCACTAGTCCAATCTGTAGTTAATTTCAGGGGTCGGGGTTTTCAGAATGTGGTTGCCAAGAGTTCATGCTCTGAAAATGTTTTGTGCATATCTGTTTGATACTGTATCAACAAATGTGTCATGCCTTACTAGGTAAATAACTGTCTATAAACAAGCCAAGCACATTCATCAAGGAAAGACTGACCTCTCCCATGCTTAGTCTAATCTCTGTGGTTCTTATTTCAGCGCAAGGGTTGAAGTTTCTTTAACAAATGCTTTTAGTTTAAGCCATGGTGTCTCTCTTCATGTGTCAATCAGCTAGTTAATCAAGAGAGTTTGCATCTATAAGTTTCTTTGACTTGCCACTTGGGATCATCTCTATTCTCTAAAGTTTATGCTTTGCCTCTGTAGGAAATCTTAACTCTGCTGACTCCTTATCCGTGCAATATCAATCTGTCTTTTGAAACAACTTTTTTGATAGTTTATCCAGGCATCTCAGTAGCTTTGAATTTTTCAGGTTGTAAGTTGTCTTTCAACAACTTTTCTATTACGTTGAAGAATATTTTATTGCTGCAACTTGTTCACATCATCTGAGATGCCAAAAGATAGAAGGGTGAACCGGTTATCTTCTAGTCAGTCAAGGGTATCTCCTTATAATCGTGGCTCAAGAGATTTGAACAGCAACAAGTTGGATGCTTCTTTGCCACCTTCTTTAGATGAAAATGAGTGGGAAGAAGCTAGGTGTCCCATCTGTATGGAGCATCCGCACAATGCTGTCCTGTTAATCTGTTCATCTCGTGAAAAGGGTTGTTGTCCATATATGTGTGATACAAGCCACAGGCATTCAAATTGCCTCGATCAATATCGCAAATCATCAATTCCAACGGCAGATTCAACTGCTCGACCAGATGATGAATTTTTGACGTGGATGCTTTATCGTAATGGAGGTGGTAATGGGGGAGGGAGACAAACATCATTGCAGCCAAATAGTTCCTTAGGGGTACAAGCACTGGAACACACCTGCCCTCTTTGTCGGGGCCAGATCAGTGGATGGATTGTCATAGAGGCTGCTCGCAAGTACATGAATACCAAAGTAAGAAGTTGTTCTATGGAGTCGTGTGATTTCATTGGGAATTATGATGAACTAAGAAAGCATGCTAGGTGTAAACATCCTTCTGTCAGGCCCTCTGAGGCTGACCCACAGCGCCAATCTGACTGGGCAAGGCTGGAGCGCCAGAGGGATCTCGGAGACACCCTGAGTGCATACCAGTCACAGTTTGGATCTGACTTGGACGGAGATGACCCTCCTGGGTGGTATGACTTAAATCAAGATGATGATCCCTTTGAAGGGCACTGGTCAGCAGGTGTTTTCTTTGACGACTTCTTCAGTGGAATTCATTCCGAGTCTGAGGATGAAGAAAGTGTGTATGGTGACACGTTAATTGATTTGCATTCCGAAGTCGAATTCTCTTTTTCATTTTTGAACGACTTATCTTTTTATCCTTGGGATGAGGGCAGAAGCTCTGGCAGTGCAAGAACTGGTAGTAGCTTGCTTAATAGATCTACAAGATCAAGATCAAGCCCCGATTATCACCCGGAGACTTTGAACCGAAACTGGAATGAAAGTGCGCCATCAAGACATAGCGGAAATTCTTCCCGACCAATTGCGCGATCAAGAGATATGCCAAGCTCTTCTGGACCAACTGCACCATCAAGACACACGTCAAGTTCTTGGAGACCAACTGTGCCATCCTTTTTGAGACCAAGCGTACCATCAAGACATATCGGAAATTCTTTGCCCGCAAATGTGCCATCGACACACTCCCCAAGTTCTTTGCAACCAGCTAGAGATGCCCCGAATTCTTCTCGAGCAACTGCGCCATCAAGGCACGAGTCCAGTACTTCACGACCAACTGCGCCAAGTGCTGCGCAACGGCGACAGTCGTATGAAAGGCGATATTAAGTATGGTGAATTGCAACCTCAGCGGAAGAATTTAGATTTTTTTTTTATTCTTTTTTTTTTTCAGTCTCTTGGCTTCTGTAAAAATATAAGAAAATCGTTCAAAACGTCCCTCACATTTTGCACAATAACTTTTTTTGTCCTTTACTTTTAAAAATATAATTTTACGTCCTTTACAAATTCACATTGATCAAATTTGGTCCCTATTTAGGTTTTCTACTAGTTTTTTATCGAAATTCACCATGTGTCTTGCACGTGATTATATTTTAAGGGTAAAATTGTCTAATCAGATTTATATAATTTGATTCATAATCCCTCATATTTTATAAAATAAATTTTTTCGTCCCTTACATTTCACAAAATGAATTTTTTCATCTTTCATATTTTTCAAAATGAATTTTTTCATCTTTTATTGATCATGTATGTGAATAATTTTTTTTAAATCCATGTATATATCTATTTGATTTTACCTGAACAGTACGAATAGCATGTGAAATCAAATAGAGATATATTACATACTATTCGTACTGCTCAAGTGAAATCAAATAGATATATATATATATATATATATGAGTTTAAAAAAATTGTTAGTTTTTCACTTATATTCATTTTCTTTTACTCGAAATGTGAAAATAAAGAAGACATTTAATCCTAAATATTATCGAGTGTTTATATCGAATTAAATTTTGATAGAAAAAGTAAACAAAAGAAAAGTATGACAAAAAGAAATAAGTGATTGGCACTTTCAAATTTTAAGACAATCACAAGGTAAGTAATTCAACTGTTGGTCTTAAAAGTGTCGAATAGAAATTTCAAATTTTAACTGAAATTTGTTAGCACAATTATAGAATTCGAGTTAGGACCCGTTAATTGGATGACCTTATTATACAATTCAATAAATAAATTATTAGCAAAAGAGAAAGATCACAAATATTGAATAGGTTCAAATGGTGAAACTATATAAATATATACATGGGTTTCAAACAAAATCATTAGTTTTAAACCCCTATATATATATATATCTATTGAATAGTATGTGTATAACTACAATTAGCATGTTTAGATGAAATTCAATAGAGATAAATTACATGTTATTCATACTGTTCAGATAAAATCAAATAGATATATACGTGAATTTATAGAAAAAAACTATTCGTACACATGATCAATGAGGGATGAAAAAATTCATTTTGAAATGTGAGGAACGAAACAATTCATTTTGTAAAATGTTAAGAACGAAAAAATTTATTTTGTGAAATGTGAGAGATTATGAATCAGATTATGTAAAAATTTGATTTGACAATTTTACCCTTAAAAAATGATAATATGCAAGTCACGTGGTGGATTCCGGCAAAAAACTAGTCGGAAACCTAGGTAGAAACCAAATTTGGTCACTGTGAATTTGTAAGGGACGTAAAATTACACTTTTAAAAGTGAGGGACGAAAAAAGTCATTTTGTAAAATGTGAGGGACGTTTTGAACGATTTTTCCTAAAAATATCAGTTAATTTATTGATTTTTTTTGGGATACTTTTAAGGTCCAACGAAACCAAGGGCTTGTTTGGAAGTGAAGTTTTTGACCAAATTTTTTAGCTACTAGTTTTTTAACGACTTTTGCTACAGGAACCCTAAAAAACTTATCAACTTAGTTTTTTACTTACACACTTCAAAATAATACACAAAAAACTTTCCCTTCAACTTTTCTTCTTTTTCCTCCCCCACCCAACCGGCCACCACCTCCACCACCGCTTCCGGCGCCGGTAATTATTCCGGCCAACTTTTGCCAGCCTTTCTCTTTTTTTTTTTCTCTCCCTCCCCTCCCCCTTTGACCGATATGTTGGTTTTCAAAATCTCTTTTTTCTTTTTTTTTTGTTTCTCCCTCCCCCCTCCCCTCTTTCCCTCTGCTTTCCCCGCCACCTTCCCCCTCCCGCAGCTTGGGGAGAAGGAAAAATGCAAAAAAAAAAATAATAATCATTTCTGTTGCAGCAAAACTCAGGTGGCATCAGAGGGAGAGGGAGAGGGAGGGGTGGCGGGGGAGCTTTTGCAGGGGTGGGGGAAGGGGGTTGCGGGCAGAGGGAGAGGAAGGGGGAGCTTTTGCAGGGGTGGGGGAGGGGGTGACGGGGCAAAGGGGGAAGACGGGGCAAAGGGGGTGGCGGGGCAGAGGGCAAAGGCGCAGAGGGGGGTGGCGGTGGAGGAGGTGCTGGTGGAGGAGCAGGTGGTGGTGCAGGAGGTGGGGCTGGTGGTGGAGTTAGGGGTGGAGCAGGCGGGAGAGTAGGAGGAGGGGCTGGTGGAGGCATTGGTGGTGTTGCCGGAGGTGGAGCAGGTGGAGGCGTGGGAGGAGGGGCTGGAGGAGGCCTTGGCAGAGGTGCTGGAGGTGGAGCAGGCTGCTGGGTTGTTGGGAGGTTGCTGCTGCGTTAGGTTGCTGCTGCGTTGCTGCTAGGAAGAAAAGAGGAAAGAAAAGAAAAGGGAAAGAAAGAAAAAGAAAAAGAAAAAGAAAGAAAAAAAAAGAAAAGGAAAAAAAAGTTTTTCCACCTTACCAAAACTTCTATAAAAAAAGTTTTTCATCTTAGAACTTCTACAAAATTTTTTCAAAAACTTCTACAGTACACTACAGTAAAGTTTTAGACAAACTTCCAAAAAACTTAGGTTTCAAACAGGCCCCAAGTTCAGCATGGAACAAATTTGAATTCCGAGGACGTTTCCCATCAAATGTGGTACTCTTGAGTCTTGAGTGTTACTTGAAAAATACTGTGATATATTCAGTTCGAGTTGATCGCAAAATAAACTACTCCGGTTGGATTCGAGAGTTTTTCAAACATTAACTTTTCACCTACAAATCTAGTAACAGACCCCAAAAACCTCACCAAAAAACACTCCTCATATTTCAAATACAATTTATAAAAAATACACTCCTTAAGTGGAAGGAAATACTATATATTAATATAAAAAAAATATTATTTACACTTTCATTTTTATTAATTACATTATCATTATTATTTTAATCATATAATATGTGATAAAATAAATGGTGAAAGTGCAAACAATAAAAAATGGAGTACGAATAATATTTTTTTTAATAAAAAGCCTGTACAATTATCTTATTCACTCATATATGCACCTTTAACAGTACCTCTTTTTATATCTCGGCTATAGGATTTATTGAAATTATTGATTTTTAAAAATGTTGGGGGGTAACCTATAATTTTCAAGGAGTTTTTTTTTTTTGGCCGGACAAACAAACACTGGTTTGATTTTTGGGATAATTTCACAAACTTCTCCTGAGGTTTATAACAATTGCAGTCACCTCCTCTTAAATTTTAAAAATTATATATACCTCCCCTACTTTTACTATTTAGATAACTATATAGACCCAATGTACTACATTTCTCTTCAAAAATCCTAATATACCCTTGACATAACAACAAAGATAAAAAAGTTAGTTTAATCACATACATTTTCTTTTTCTAAAACCACTGCAAACTTGTCACCATACCAAGCCAATTGAGGAAACTATTATTTATAGCTTAGTCTCCATTTCAAGTGATTTTAACAATATTTGCGGCCTTAGAATCATTTTGCTGTCCAAACGCTTTCACTAAAAATTACGAGATCAAATATAATCCCACTTAAAAAATCTAAAAGCCTGCCTACAATTTTCTCAACCTACTAGCAATAGCTAATCTAGCTCATCACCACCTATATGGATACTAGGAGCAATGCCACCGTGACCCAAAGAATAACCCATTATTACTCCATAATCTCTATTAGAGACTAATTCTATCTCCATAAAAAACCAATGTTCACAGTAGCAAATCAAAAACAGAAAGATGCATTTTTCATTTTTGTTTTTCATTTTTTTGGCAACAAATGCAGTTATGGATATCTATTAATTTTTTTTTATATATTTCTAATAAATTTTTTTGAATAAATAGACACAACAATATACCAATCATTCGGTCTCTCTTACTTTCAACAGTTTCAAATTTATTCTTTATATTTGCCATCCTCTCCTTATTTAATTTGATAATGAAGAAATTTTTTTTTCTGTTCTTTGCTTTCTATTGAATCAGCATTTGCTAATATTTGCAATAGAATGTGAAGAAATAAAGGACTTAAGTAATAAAATAAGAAGACGAGAGACAGCAGAACTTGGAATGGATATTGGAAATGAGAGGGATAGTGATGAGCATGGTGGTTATGAATCTAGTGATACATAATATGAGACTAGGTGGTAACACCGCGCCTTGCGCGGTGGTATACATGCCCAGTTAATGTTAGCTAGTAATATTTGTGAGACTGAAGAATAGGGGTAAAAAAAGGAGCTATATTATACAGGAATAAAAGTGAAAAAGCAGTTGCACTGGAAAGAAGTCGTAATTATACAGACGTTGTAAAAATGTAAAAAATTCTTTTTCTGGTGAATGAATAGAACATTTAAGGTGTTTAATTAAAACAATAACTTACTTACTATTTCAAGCAGGTGCTTAGAATCTAATATTTGAGAATCCTTATCTTGGGCAAACCTTTAATCACCTATAAACAGGAAAACCATTTATAAGATCTAGTGAATCAGAAACAATTAATCAATAAAAGATTGCCGAAAATACTTGATTTAATATCCACTTAAGGCTAGTAAAACAAATATTCAAAAGGTTTCAACAAGAGACAATTTTCTGTGCTAAAAGACATAAAATTCAACACAAAGCATTCAAAAGAGTAGCATCCCAAGATCTTTTGTAACGTAAAATTTTGGCCAATGACCAACTTGGCACAGAATTCCTAGAGAAGAAATTCATTAGTTCTTCAAGTGTTGGAAACCCAGTGAAGGAAAAAGAAACGGAAGAACCGAAGCAAAAAGAAAGACATTTTGAAGATGAAGAAATATATTTTAAACAAGTAAATCTTTTTAGTTACCATATACATTGCTTTTTTTGAGAAGATCAACAAAATACCTGCGTGAAAGACGCCAAAAAATGATTAAAAAGAAAATTTGAATGAGTTTGAAAAGAGCAAAGGCCAAAGAAAATAACCAAAGAGAAAGCATACCAGGTCTGAAGAGAGCAATTTAAAGGAAAAAATTAAATCAGAATGATATAACAAAACTTACGTTTTCCCTCACCAGTTGTTTTTCACGGGTGGCCATTTTTGCTTCCAGCTCCAGAAGAAATCCAAGAAAGGCGAAAGCTTAGGTTAAGCTGAATAAACAAAAGGTCATTTTCTTCAACAAATTATAGGCACATAAGTAGGTGAGGCAAATCATTTTCACCATCTGATTTAAATAAAAAAAGAAAGGCAATCTGTTCCAATACAAATCTACAGCGTTGTTGGTCCTGTGCAAAAAATCTGTAAACCAGTTGACATCAAAGAATCTTCCTGGCGCTAAAACAATTGGCTTGTTTGCTACATCCTTGTAGATTTCTAGTACTTTGTTGTGTAGTACGATTGTATTAGAAGCATACTGATCAGGTGCAACTCTTGTCCCAACTTCACCGCCGGATAGTTCATTCCCTGGCCAAAATAGATGATGAAAAATTACCATCCGAAACTAATCTCAAGCTATCTAAATCATTTGAAAAAACTATATAAAAACAGAGAAGAAGCATTTCTGCAGCAGGCTAACCATAGAAACGTAAATGATATTACCAAGTTCCCAGCCATATATGTTGTAGCCCTTTTCAACAATGTAATGAATAAAAGCTTCACCATTTGAGGAATCCCAAGCTCCAACTATTGAACCATCGGACCTTATTCTCTTCCCATTCAGAGCATTCAAACCAAATATAATTTCAGCCCAGGAATGAAGACAATGATTCATTAATTTCAGATCGATGAGAATAATGATAAATAATTACCAGTCTAACTAACCAAGGTGGTGCTTCTTATGTACCCAGATTTCTTGAAAAAGGAGTTTAATTCATCCCATCAAGACGAAGGAAGGCACCCTTGAGTGAAGCCAAACAACTCTGGGGAATTCTTAACAAATGAATGGCAGCATTGATTACTCTGAGTTTGATATATGACATTATCTTGCAGGGTGCCCCCAAGTCTAATCTTTAATGGCGAAAAAGCTGCAAAATTAGGGGAAGATAGCAACTTGAGCTCCCATAACGGGACTATAACGTTAGAATGCCATTTTTAGTAATCAAGAACGCTAGAAAAAGTTAATACCTTTTACTGCATTTAATAAAATTATGTTGTTAAGATCCTGCAAATAAAACAAGAAACAGATCAAACCAGTCCATTAAACACTAATTTTTTAATTCAAATTGGTCACACATATAATAGCCCAGAATGATTTTGGACAATTTGAAATTCGATAACATCTCTCTCAGAACACAATCAAGATCTTTTGGACTTTAATCAAAAGGCAAACAAAACAGAGCATAAATGATAAGCGACAAGTATTGTCTTCTTCCCCTTTTACAACTTCATTGCTGAAAGCATCAGAGTGGAATTCGCAGCCATCAAAAAACTTTTCTGACACACCATCTAAAGCATAAAAATCACATCTTTTTAACCGGAAATGAATTTGAAGCTGAAATATACAGCTCAAACAAGCCATCATCCCCTTGTTATAAAAGACGGCATTGGTTCAGGTGGATAAATCCATCAACAACTTCAGCATACCAACGTAGTAAGCTTGCAGGTAACATTAAAAAAGGCACACACACACACGCATTGACATAAACATGAGACACAAAATAGCTGCAAATGCAGGAAAATGGAAAGTACCAGAATGAGAAGGGAAGCATGGTCCCAGCTACAGGTTCCATAGTCACATTTCTCAGGTGGCTACCAATCCAAGGTGGCACAAATGAAATCGTCATCTATTTCTCCAATGGCACTAATCCCATCTACAAATACAAAGCCTTGGGATGTTCCAGTGTCTTTTACAATCTCAGAGTACACGAAAATGGAGCTATAACTAAACAAAGACAACCATATCCACAATCCCACGTAGTACACAACTAAATAACCCATCTTTATATCTTGAAGCTAATCTTCAAGATCTATCCCCCAGAAGAAAATGCTTAGCTGGAATGCTACAATTTTTACTCCATTGCAGGGCTCGCTGGGAAGTTTATGATAGCAAAAGAGAGGATACCAATTAGCAAAGATAGATGGTATTAAGCGGAGGTGACATTAGATGAGTCATAAATGCCTAAGATAGCAAATTTACAGGTAATTTAGACTAAAGGCCCCAATTTTTTTTGGGACTGAGGCTATTTAAATCGAAGGTACAAGAAAAATTCAAGATTTAAAGCTTGGGCTCTGAGTAAGAAATTTGAGGCATTTCTAATTGGACAAATCAGTTGGGCTGGAGCAGCAAATTTCTCTGACTTCCGATAAGTCTAAGATTTGGCTGCAACTCCAGCACTATTCTCAGTTTCCTGATTTCAATAATTACCTCGCTTTCATTTTCGCTCGAGCTCGGGTGTTCTATTTTCTCTCCTCTTTCTGCCTCTCTTGCTTTCCTTATAGTATCTATTTATTTTGAGCACTCAAGCAACACTTCTTATCCTTCTTGTAGCAATCTCGGCCGACGAAAAATACCAAAAATACCATAAAAAATGAAGAAAATGAAGAAAAACCTGAAGCCAACAGCATCAAACTATTCTTTCCTTTTCTCCTCCTGGACGATTGCTCTTCAAGATGCATGAATCAGATCAAGCTAGGCAATAAGACAAGGAGACAAAACATTAATAAATTTTTTATTTCCCTTCTTAAAGTGCAACGAAGTTTTATTGTGGAAAAAAGAAAAAAACAGAACAGTTATGGCAAGAAAGTAAGGAAAAAATTATGCATAAGAGGAAAAAAAGAGGAAGTAAAACTGAGAGAAAAAATAAAACCCATTCCTCTCCTTAAAGGGCGACAAAGATTTCCTGCGAAAAAAAAGGAACAAAACGGTTATGACAAGAAGGGTTAAAATAAGGAAGAAATATGGACAAGGGAAAAAAAGGATAATAAAACCGAGGGGGAAAACAAACCTCGTGAGTACATGATTCTCACCTTCCAACACATGAGGGAAAAAAATTAGGGAGAATAAGAGGAGTTCTATTCTCGGACAAAAACCTAAGCAAGCAAAATTGATTAAATTAGATCAGATCAAGGAATGTTTATAGCACAAGAACACTATGGCTCAACTGATTTTTTCAGCATCTATTCTCCTGTAACAAAAGGGAGATGGAAGAAGAGAAGAGAACAGGAAAGTTGAATTTGATGGGGATCTCTTCAGATATCTCATTGACCAAATCTTCGGGAATGCACAATGTATGAGAGAGAGGCTAAAGAATGTATGGGACTGAGTGGTCATCTCAAGTCCATCGCTTCAAGGAAGCAGTTTGGAGTGGGTCTGCAGCGGGCAGGGTTGGTGGAGCAGTTCACTGACTTCCACCGAAAACGTCGACACCAAACGGAAGGAATGACGAAGGGAAAAACGGAAGGAAAGGCGAAGGGCAAAAAAATCACTTGCAACGAAGCCAAACTCGCCACCAATCACCTCGCGCCACGTCACCATCAAGCCAATCCCGTCTCGCCACGCGGAGGACGACCACGTCCGACGTGGACACCGGGCTTCCGCCCTTAGTCTATATGGTTAATGAAGGAGAGGAGTTAGAGAGAGAGGTGAAAGGAGGCGACTGTAGATTATAAGACAACTGGGAATGTTTTGCTGGTCGTAGTGATATGGTATTTTTCTTTATGAATCAACTAATTAAGTAAAGGAAATTCTAGTAATTTTGTTGCACCTAGGGAGGTCAATGTAATTATATAAACTTAAGGGGAGCTGAGGGAAATTGTTTCTGAAATTATCCCTTGATTTTTCAAGGGGACAAAGGGTTTTTTATACAACAGTAGCTTTTTAAAGGTTCGGGGGATGCAGTAATTCCAATTTATTACAAAAATTTCCATCCATCTTGTACCAGATAGCCTGTTCGATTCCTGGTTCCGAAATTGGCGGTTCCTCTGCTATTGCCGCTGCACGTGGGACATTTCTCCATTAGTAAGCCTACTACTCTTTTATCTTTGTATTTGCAAACCCTTTCCATCTTTAATGGAATTGAGATTATAATTCTATTACTACTACCTACGTTTCCATGTTTTCGGTATAATCGGCTATCAATTAAATGGTATAATGAATCCATGCTTCTTGTTATCTTTGTCTCTTTCGTAATTGTTTTTCTGTGGCTTTTCGCTTCTCGGATTGATATTGTTTGTCTTGGATAATTCCATGGCTTTCGGATAATATGTCAGTCAAGAATTTTTCTTCTTCTTCCTTTTTCCCGTGTAGTTAGGACCCATCAGGCTTTTAAGATTTGGGTAAAGATTTAATCTTTATTCGGGTTAAAAAGCTGTTTAAGGCAGTTGTGCGGTGCGGATAACTATGCAGCTGTTAATAGAAATAGGATTGGTAATAACAAATTTCAAGGGGCGCGTATTTACCAATGGAAAGGCCTTTCTAACCTGCATTTTTATGTTATCTGTGCAGCTGAGGCATTTAGGGGGATATATATCAGCTCTACCATTATGTCAAGGTCATTGGCGGGTTTACTGAGGAGGAGCATTGCGGCCTTTCCAGCTGCTCAATCCTCTGCTATTGTAAGAGTGGATGCAATTCTTCTATCTTGTAATATGATTTGCTCAAAAGTCATGTGACGTTGTGTTATAGGTATAACCAAGTTTAAGTGCACAAGCACATATACTAAGTATAAAGCGGTTACTGAAAGATTCTACTGTGGTTTAGTTACTCCTAGAAGAGAGTTGGTTCTGTTGTTTCACCTTACTTAGCATTTCTTGGCCTTCTTTGGTATCCGGGTGTTGATTGTTTATTTATCCAGGATAAGGGTAGCTGGTAATTGAATATTCTTTGAGATTGGCCCAACCATTTTTCTTGTAAATTCTTCACGCAGATGATCTCCCATGGTATCTGCTCTAATGCTCCTTTTTGGAAAAGCCCGCTATTAGTATTTTACCTGAATATATTATTTGGAAACGCAATGGAATCTATCTTGTCAGATTGTCCATTCTGTTGACCGCAAATGCTAAGTTGTACTTTTTGGAAAGAGGGGGTTAAGTTGTGAAGTACTGATGGCAATAAGACCCTGCATACCTTTGTAGTTCTGTCCCTTTTCATCATTGAAATGTGTGTTCTTAATTGTTGATGAATATAGGTGTTTTCTTTTCAAAGAACTGTTGCCTTCATTTGTCTTTTTTTTTTCCCATTTTGGTGGGTTCTATGCAACTAAAAAACTGCGTTTTGTCTTGGTTAGGCTTCTGGATGCTTTTATCGAAGTGCAACCTGCTATTCAACTACTGTGCCACATGATCCTGATACACACGAAGACTTCATACCCACTAGTAAGCTTGAGGGTTCTGGACTTTCACTGAATAAGATTGTTGAACAGGTGAATACCCTATAGCAGTTTTGGCACCATAATTTTACATTGAATGTCTGCTTTCTCTTAGATTTACTTCATGATATCTTTCTTCTAACCTGCCACAAAAGTTTTTTGTTAGATTTTGTCGGCAATATACGCATTTGTAGACGAGTATACTCACAAGCTATATAATACACATCCATTAAAAATGCTGATTTATAAGCTTTTAATGTAGGATGTCAACGAGAACCCTGTGATGATTTACATGAAAGGAGTCCCAGATCTTCCTCGTTGCGGATTCAGCTCATTAGCAGTGAGGGTGCTGCAAGAATACAGTATGTTTGCACACATTCCATTTCCTTATCTGAAATATTCAAGTCAAAATTTGTTAATCGATCATGAATGCATCTCAGGTTAAAAGACACTGTTACCTTTTAATTGTGTATTTGAAATAAAAAGATTTTGGCTTTGAGAGTGGCCTACAATGTTGATAATTGCAAATAGTTATTCTGGGGAAGCCTTGCACATGTCTTTTCAAGTAAGATTTGAAAGTTTTATCTTGTTAGTTCAGTCTCTTATAGAGATAAGCACTAACTTTGAAGCAAAATATTGTATCATAAATGTGAGAAAGTAGACAATCGTAAACCACAAAATGATGGAAGTATGGTACGTAGCGAGTATGCTTGTTTTATATCCTGTGCCAAGTGTAACTAGTTCAAGCATGTTGTTTTAGAATTATATATACTTTTATTTCTGTGTAAAGACTTTTATTTTTTTTATGGCATTCTAGCAATAAATTAGGCACTTGCAGGTGTACCTATAAGCGCCCGAAATATACTGGAAGACCCTGAGCTGAAGAATGCTGTGAAAGCCTTCAGGTATTGTTATATGGGTGATACAATTTCTCTTTTTTGTCGGCCAAATGGCTTTTGTAATATTGCATGTTATCTTTCCCAGAAGTTATTCTTATCTTTCTGTTTGTGCTACCGATTAAGTTATTCTTGAAGCTGAAGCTGAGTTATAATCATGTCTTGCAGAAGTGTGCATTGAAATGTTCAATGTTTGCACAAAATTTCGCATTGATCTTCCATGATCATTATTATTAATTCCTGGCTGCTTAGACGAATATCATTGTCTGCATATTGATCTATCTGAGGAAACCCCCCCCCCCCTCTCTGAAAAGTGATTGCCTTGGAGCTCATTTTTAGTAGGAAGTATGCTATGACTGAGGTGTGTGATGGAGGTAGCATGGGGTGCATGGTTAAGTATTCCAAATAATAAGATAACCATCTCAAATTGCTTAGGATGCTATAATTATTTCTGTACATCTCTTTGCAACATAAATCTGTTGTAAAACTGTAAATTTGATGTGGACACTAGGTTTAAATGAACTTTCGGAGGCTTTTCTCTGACAACCTGAAACCTATTGATTATGACTTTCTTTTTAGACCTTCAGCAACTGCTGCCAGACCATGGTCTTTGATTGTGTCATTTTGAATCTACAGGTTTTTGTAATATTTGAATAATGTTGGTTTCAAAGCATCACTTGCATAAGCTGTGGTTTACCTTATACCTCTTTTAGTCTCTAATCAGTTAGTATGCTTGTTTATCTGTAATAGAAAGTGAATACATAAAAGAATGAGATGTAGCTGGATTTTAAGGCGGAAATACTGACCAGAGAATGCTTTATTTTTATCTTTGGTGCAGCAACTGGCCTACATTCCCTCAAATATTCATTCACGGGGAGTTCATTGGAGGATCAGATATCATCCTTAATATGCACCAGGTACTTTTTGACTGTATCAATCATCTTTGTTTGGATTTGTGGGTTGTAAAATACTTCAGAACTCCTATTTGTTATGCAGACTGGTGAGCTTAGAGAAAAGCTGAAAGATACCTCTGATGGACAAGAGAAAGTGGAATAAGTTACATTGCAGAAGTCGTAGCCGATTTTCTTTAGTGGGTCGGCAGACAATTTCAAGCATTGATTGAAAGTATAACAGAATAGAGCCGTTGCATTGGCTCTACTTAAATTTTAGAATGTGATTCCTTCGTATGGCACTAGCTGATGCAATAGAACTAGTTTCTGGTGTTTTGGTGGAATTGCTTTTCAGGAAGTCTGTCTGGTTGTGGTCTGACTTTGTTTGCATGGGCGAGTGATTTTTAGTTGGCAATAATTTTCCCTCTATAAATTTAGTAATCCTTATGTATAAAACAAAAACTTTTGTAATTCTCGGACGACGAGGTTGCAAAGTGAGTGAAAAATCACGTCTAGATTTTCAAGAGCTCTGGGAATTAGAAGAAAATGCGCTGTGGATTCATTGATTGCGCAAATACCTGTGTCTCTAATGGTTGAAGATGATATCTTCTACCCTTGAACTCATCATGCAAAGGATAAATTTTTGCCATTACCACAAACTATGAGAAACCAGTCATATAAATGAAACTTAATTGCAATTTAGCCCTTAAGACATGGTCCAATGCCAAATGTCTCCTGAATTATGAACTACGTGGTATGTGACCGCATTATAAAAGTAGAATTATGATAGAGGGTGCGAATCACCTTAATGAGGTCGACAGTTGTGTAACAAAAGAGCTACATTCCTACGCTAGGTTTAAAACCAAAAAAAGAAAAAAAGAAAAAACGTTTTTAAGAACTCAGCATGGACAAATGCTTTTAATTTGGTGAAGACCGAAGACATTAACGACACTCACTTGACAAAGTATGCACTTGGAGCTCCAAAGCTAAACTTTAAGTAATATCATTTACTTGAAAAAATGGCAGTACATTTTAATTTTAGAAGAAAAAAAATCAGCGTCATTATCTCCCCGATGATTTCCTAGTGCTGATCAACACAAACACGGGTTCTACAATGGCAACTTCGTACTATTTCACAGGTTCTTCATTGAGTCCAGGTTGGTAAATAATTCACCACATTTTGTGGTGGAGCAGCTATATTAATTACCAAAAACGAATACATTCCTAGCCTAATCAACGACAATGCATAACCACCTATCTTCCTGAGAAAATGATCATCATCTCTTGTGGCTTGTGGAACACAAATACTGAAGCATATACTCGTTTGACGAGCATGTATCGGCTAAATCCTGATGTGATCGAGTGATAGCCTTCTGCAAGGATTTTAGAGCAGGGAGCAAATTTCTGGAATTATGCTGGATAGAGGGACCATGGACTGTGCACAGCTCCTGTGAAGCAAAAAATTAATCAACAGCCCATTGCAAGAGATCTAAAGACATGCTTGAACGATGTTGCTCGTGTAAAAAAAAAAAAAAATGGACAGAACAACTAAAGTCGCAAAATTACCTGACACCATCGAAGAACAAACTCCAAATGTGGACAGTTTTCAAGAAGATGTGCTAGTGCCTCTAATAATCTCTGTAGATGTTTGAAAGGGACTGATGAAGCAACAGCTGGTACCTCAGCTGGACTGACAGCAATAATACATTTCTTAATTAGTGCATCTTCATTCAACCGTAAGCTGAGGATTAAAGCCCTTTTTGGCTGACCATCATTCAATGCAGCATCGACCGCCTATAGGACACCATTAGAGAATGCGAATGCGGTCATACTTTTGACTCCTCTTACAATTTTATTGCATTAAATCCAATATAATTTACTTGATAAACAAAATGCTGAAAGAATTATTTCTTACTTCAGGTGTGACGTCAATGTCAAGATCGGTGGGATCAAATATAAAAGAATCATCCATAGAATAGACCAAAACTCCTTCTGTTGTTGCAGCTGCCCAATTCCGGCCAGTTGGTGCAATTCTCAGGCATTTTGTTCGAATAATGGGCCTTCCATGATTAGGCATTGATCCTGGCAAATCATATGCCAACTTACTTTGTGTTTGCTTATCCACACCTTCTTCTGTATCACTATTATCATCATCAATCAATTCCAGTGGGCCAGCTTCTGTCATATTCTTCGAGTTTAAGAAATCAAGAACTCCATCAAGGGAGAGATTATGGGTTATTTGGAATCTGCGAAGTAACACCTACAAATTTGCAATATTCATACAAGGAATCAAGAGTAGACACAAAAAAACAACTTGAAAACATCATAATTGCTCATACGTGTGTGTCTCAGTGTGTGTGCATTTGAATGAAATAAGTGGCAGAGGAGGATTGTAAATATGCCTCATCAAGGAAAACTGCAATGTCCAGCTCCATGAAAATCCCCCTTTGACTTGAAACTCAAATGAATTAGTTCGCCAAACCACCTTATCTTTATTTCTAACTATTTCACTAACAAAAGGTCTTTGTAATAATATTTGTTATGTGGTTATGATTCGATCCAAGATACTAAAACTGAATTCATTAGCATATGCCAAATGAGGCACCTAGAGTTTACAAAGTCAAAGAAATTCTTGTTTTGGGACTGAAACGGTGACAAAGATTTGATACCAATCATTTCAATAATATATTAGGAGAGACACAAGATTATGCAGGCAAAAGAAAGGTTCAAGCTAAAGGTTAGGCCAAGTTCATCAGCTACCTTATCCTGCTGGATATTCAAGAAAACCAGAGAACTACTTATGCATATGTACACATTTGACATTCAAAATTGTTGAACATATCATTCACGTCAGTACTTCATTCAAAAAAGAAATGGAAGAATGAAGAAAACCATATCTATGAACTTACTCTAGCTCCTACTAGCGGAAAGCAGGCAGGTCAAGAAAAAAGTAAAGTTAGCCTAGCAATCTGAGCCCTCAGGCCTCAGGACAAAGAATGCTAAAAACTAGCATCAGAGTGGGATAGCAGCATCAGATTTAATAAATCATAACCATGCGTAAATTTGTGGTATACTGAATTTCTATACAAAAAAAAGAAAGCAAACTAACCTGATCAGCGACATCATACATACATATGTATTTACTACTCCCACCAGCTAATATGTAGCTCCCATCAGCAGAATAACACAAGGTGGTAAAGCATTTTCCAGTCGTTGAATTAGCAGCCGATCTGCGATCAGTCATTAGACGTCCTCCTGCAATATCTCTACGGCCCTCGATGGTATACATTAGCAAGCCCTCAAGTGGGTCCCAAAAATGGATTAGCCCATCTAAAGTACTACAAGCCAATTGCTTTCCATCTGGGCGATAAACAAGAGTGAGGACATCATGTGTGTGTGAAAAAGTTTCAACTGCACCTTTCCCTTCAAAAACATCCCACAAGCGAACAGTTTTGTCCCATGAAGAGGAAGCTAAGATAGCCTACAAGGTGAAAAGAAAACTTAAACTAACTTCACAGAATAAGAACAAACATACAATTACCTGGCAACTGCCAAGGTACAATGTCCACAGGAAACATGTCACATTCTCAACTTACATTTGTAGGAGAAAACATCAACCCGTGAACAGGACCTTCATGACCGCTGAGAACGTCCAACAACCTTCCTGTCTTCATTGACCAAACATATATCTAGAACATAATAGTTTAAGAAAAGTTTGTGAGAAACAAACAATAATGCTTTTGGCCATGTCAATATCCAACTAGAATTCATCGGACCTCAAAAGAATCAAGAGTTCCAGCACAAATCACTTCACCGCTCTGATCAGCTGCTAAAGAAACAAACTGTTTAGAAGTAGGAGTAATGAATGTTCTAAAGTTTCTATACCGAAACAAATCCCACGCACGAACAGTCCCATCCAACGACGCACTCAAAAGACAGTGGTTACTAGCCATGAAATGAAGTGCAGTAACTGCATTGGTGTGCTCAGAGAATGTAACGAAACAGCAGCCAGATGAAACAGTCCATACCTGTAAGGCAAAGAAATAAATCTCATGATTCAGCTTGAGGCCAAATTAACAACAACTAAGTGTAATTGCAAAAATTTTCAGGCTGAAGTGAACATGTCATGACAAGACAAACTGCTTAAGATCACTATTATAAAGACAAATCTGCATTGAGCTACATCTTGCAGGACTGTGAAACATGCATTCTACTTCATGAGTTATACTCTGCATAATAAAATAAGAAAAAAATTTGAGACTCATTTTATAAGTTTGTCATTGTATTTTGCAGGGAAGGTTATTTCCTACAAGAAGAAAATATTAATTGAGCCAATCTACAATTGACTAGCGAATAAAGCAAGTGCTTTCAGCAGATGAAGAAAGTCAGGACTCTAACCACGAAAAGGCAGGTCTGATTTCTTTCACATACCTTGACTTTATTATCGTCGGCCCCTGTAGCCAAAAGCTGGGAATCTGGAGAATATGCTAGGCAATTCACATCAAAGTAATGCCCTTGCTGCTTCAGTATGTAACTCTCTGATTTCCACTCCCAAACAAGCAACTGACCAAGCTTTGCACACCCAAATGTCAACCAGTTCCCCAGATCATTAAAAACAGCGGTCGTGATTTTCTCTCTTGATATTGACAATAAGTGAATGCAGACAAAATCAGGCATCTGATAAAGGCCAAAAACTCCATTTGAGAAACCCACAACCAACATATTAAGTCCCGTATGATAATCACAAGCAGTTAACTTTGCTGGCGCTTGCATAAAATAGTCCTTCTTCATCAGTTCCCATTTCAGCCTATGCAACAAGAAGTCACTCTCGTCATCCAAAGTTCCATTTTTACCATCAAAATCCTTCCTTTTTTTCACTGTGAGATTACCATCAAAATTCTGCTCCGGTGTACCTGGAGACTCTGGCTCTGAAATTTCTTGAAGTCCTCCTCCATCAAATTTACCATCACCACCCCTATATCCCCAGCTAAATATCGCCCCATCGCGCGATATTGTATAAACCCTCAAAACTTTGTTAGTTTTCTTGTCAATTCCGAAAAAGCAGCCAACAATTGCATCTCTATGGCCCAAGAACAAAAATGGTTTACTGTAACTCTTTAGCTTTTTCAAGCAAAACAACCTAACTGTCAAGTCTTTGGAGCCAGCAAGTATAAAATTCGAGTCAGGGCTCCAATCCAGAGCAGTAATCTTGTCATTGCAATCAGCAAATGTTTTAACCAATTCAAAAGGGAAAAATTCTTTCCTAAACCCAGGGGAGCGCCAAATTTGCAGAAGCTTACCGGCAGCTACAGCAATGAGCTGGCCGTCAGGGCTGAATTTAGCGGTGGAGACAGGGTGTTTAAAAGTGATACGATGGAGAACAACGCGGCGGCGTAGGTTGATGAAGAGGCAGCGATTCTTCTCGTCAATGGCAAGGAGGAAGATGCCATCAGGTGAGGCAGCGATGCGGCGGAGATTGGTGGAGGATTGGCATGGTAGAGTTAGGGTTTCTGATTTACTGAGGTCGGTGACGGAGACTCGGTTACCGACCGGCGAAACAAGGAGTGTGTTGTTGACAACGACGACGTTGCCACCTCTGTATGGAGCTCCGAGGAGATTCTGGAACCTGTAATTCATAGTGCGGGTGTCTGACGGCGTGTTAGTGTGAGAGAGAGAGAGAGAGATAGGAAGACTGCAAAACCCCTGAAGGCAACCGTTGAGGATTTCTCTTAAACCCTAATGAAAAGCAAGGAAGAGGAGGGAGGTTCAAATGTTCGGTCGTCGGGTAATCGGCTTTCAATTTTTCGTTTCTTCCCCTCAATTTATGGTTAACTTTTTCCTTTAAATTAATTTTGGGAGTACTTAAAGAGTAATCCATATTGTCTTGGTAAGCTAGCCAACAAGAAGAGAGAGGTGAGTTAAACATTTTGGGTCAATTTTTGAACTTTCAATTTTGCACTTAAAAAAAATTAATTTTTATCCTAACCACCTAATCATATTTGCTAATATAATCTCCCAATAACTCTCTTAGATGTAGTAATTGTCGAATTAACTATAACTGTATTAAAGAAAAAATTACTAATAAATTGTAATTTTTTTCAAGAAGAATTTATATAAAATTTATTTTTGTAAAAACAAAATGAATATATTCATAAAAATCAATATAATTATTTCTAAACTACACACACATTGGGTGTGTCCTTAACACTGGTACTAATAAATTGCTTCAATTTTGAGAGTGAAAAAAGCTTTGTGAACATCATAAGTGGTGGCCTTTTTAATTTTTCTGCATACAACATTCTTCATCGTGGGATTGAAGACGTTGAAATAGATGTAGATTTCCAACTTTCTAGTCACAGGACCATCTTACAAGAAGAAAAGAGAAACTATCTTTGCTTCAATCTAGTCAACACTTTGTTAAAAAGGATGTAGGTTCAAGATCTGCTTAAAAGTCGTTCAGGTAGATTACAACATACTGTAATGAGAGCATACTTAAAACTTAGCTAGCAGTGAAACGAAACGAAACAAGTCCCCAAAACTTTATTTCACAAGAAAAAAAAAAAGAAACCAAAAGCATGATTAATTCCTAGGATTTAAACTTTCCACTCTGCAACGCCCTTATATGTCTACCTACTATTTCCCGCATCTGCAAGTGTAAGCTCTTCCTTTGTTATTGATTCGCCCCATTTCCCTTGGCAACGGTGATCAAGAAATAAGATGGCTGGCGAGCAGTTATTATCGTGAACCCTCTAATCCCAGTCTTGCGTTTAACCAGTGGCAAACCTCGTCCATTTCCTTTGGCACAGTGTAGTGGCCAAGCCTGCAGAATGAGGTAAACATTCAGCATATGGTTCAAGCTAGACAATTGTACGTTTAGCTTTCTGATGAAAGATCAGATACCCGTCATAGCTTTTGAATGTAAGGCATCGAAATCCGGCTGAGCTCAGGATTTGGGAGGACTTTTCTCCATGTTTATAAGGGACAACTTCATCACCTGCAAGCAATAGATAACAAAAAGACAAGCATTTTATAGTTCGCATGCTTTTATAATCCAACCATTTGACCTTACGAGTTTTGAAGTGCTTGTGTGCATATATTCAGAGGCTCATTTTGTAAGTTCTCGAGGGAAGCCTAAACGAGTCAAATATGACCAAATGCCCTGCCAATAGCAGAAATTTATAACACTCAATTGTTACGGGAATCCTCCTTACATTAGCCACATGCTGCTTCTTTAGTGACATAAGAAAGTCTTTCTTCTACTTTTGGATTGATCTAAGTAAAAATTACCCAAGTTCCCCCATGTAATATGACTACAAATTGGATAGGAGCTCTGAATAGAAAGTTATAGAATTTCAATGCAGGGTGCTCTATCAAGTACATACACATTCCATGACATAGCATGATGGGCAAGGATGCAGCACGTCTTGCAGCCTCATGTGATCCTTCAATCTTGTTCCTCATGTTCCTGCACAATATCAGGTGTTAACTAATGAGTAAGGGGTTCTGTAGAAGAGCGCTGTAGCGTAGGAACACCGTTCAATCTTTATAGCACAAAGTTGCACGAAAGGAAAACTAAACGACAAACATCTAAGCACAAAGCATTCTCACAAGCTAAAAATTTGTTTCTCCAAACTGGTTCTTGTCGCAAAAATCAGCTTCTATTGACAATGATAATTTGAAATTTATTGAGCATCAATTAAAGTAACTGCCATCTTACAACAAATAGTATTTACGTGTTTTCCCTACTATCGTTTTGCATAAATTGAGGTTCAAGTAATCTTCTTCTTGATGTAAAATTTGACACATTTTTCCAGTTCTGTTTATTATGCACTACAAATGGTAGATAAAAGGACTTGTTGGTGACAAAATTTTACATGAGAAGCTAATAAATTGCTGTCATACCTAGAACCAGGAAGCCATCCACTTAGACCAACAATAGCTCTCAAGTAGACAGGGTAAGGGTTTCCATTTCCATATTTTCCATGGGCAAAGCAAGTTGCTGAATAGAGAGCAGTGGCAGCGCCCATGCTGAAGCCTCCAATTCCAAGTTTAACTGTTCCACCAATTGTACATCGAAAGTCAGAATATCTGTATCAATTTCTTTAAAGACTGCCTGAGAAACTTATTTTGACATCATATGATAATATAGCTTAGATAAGAAATGAAAGAAATGGAGCCTAGTTTAGTCAAAGTTTTTATCTAGATGCAGGAGCTGTAAAGTGTAATAAGATCTGTATGCTTTTTTTCTTATTATTATTTTTTTCATATGAAATATATCAAATTTAAAGTTGTACAATTCACTGAAGGTAATGCATACTGAGTGATGTAGGCATATGCAGGACTTACCATCAGCAGGCTCTGTAGATAGAAGATTTGCAATATGTGCTGCTGAAGCATCCAAGCCTTCCAAATCATCAGGACCATCTTCTGAAAGCTCTCCAACATCAAACCCTGGTAAAAGACCAAAGTTCATGTAAATAGTAGTTTAGTAAGATCATTGTATTGAAGTTTTCTGATATAGCCTTACAAGCAGTACAAGGAAATCCGCCAAGTATAGCCACAGGACGAGTGGGAGCAGTTGGACATATCCACTTAATCTGCAAAATGTGCTTACCCTTTCAGTACCAAAAGCAGTTACAAAAGATCAAATATTAGTTTCAAAGCTGGAAATACTTTAGATGGGGCAGGCACAAACTCTTACATTTGGCAGTGGAAGGCTTTCCAGGAGCTGCGACCAACTGCAGAAAAAGAGAGACATTTAGAGGATTTTTACTCCTTCCTTGCACTTTATAAATTTTATTGATCCAAAGGTGAAGGTGGTTAGATATTTCTGTGATGCTTGAACTTTTAATTAATCATGTGTAACACTCATGAAATGGTGTATCAATGGATACAATGCATCTAATACAGTCCCAGAACGAACCATCCATTCAGGATATAAGGAGCAACTGGAATTCAACTCTTCAGATGCCAAATAGTTAATATAAAGACCATGAAATGCTCATGGAGAAGCCACCGGAAAGCACTCCTGTTCAGAATATGCAGACAAATAATGCGGACTATCTGTTAAACTTCAGAATTCTGCACATCTTTCGGCATAATGTGTTTGAATATCCTGAACAATGGTTCCTCTATTTGCTAATTGACAAGATAACAAGTAAGTGAACAAGTGGTCCCAAATATGTATGGATATCCTGAACAATAATTCCTCTTTTGGCACGTCGTGCTTTCAAAATCTTCAAGGAAAGCTCGGGATAAAACAAGACAAAAAAATTTAAACCAAAAGAGGTAAAGTGGTTCCATTATTCTATGGCAGCGCCACTTTCCCCTATCAACTCAATCAGATAAGTAGGACAAACGTTAAAGCTCAAGCCGCAGTTGCTTTCCGCAATTAGTGAAAGAATCTCCAGAAAAAGTTAGCCGGCTCAGAAAGAAAAGTAATTAAACTTCAGATGAACAGACATATAATCTGTCAACAAATTAACATTCTTTAAGTTGCTTTCCTTCTTTTCTTTTCTCTAAGGAAGTTCCAGCATTTTCCTAGTAATAAAGGAGAAAAGGAAATGGAAGCTGTTATTGCACACTAAGTCAAAAATTCACACTAGTCCAGAAAACAATAGTCTATCCTTGGCTTCAGAGTACGAAATTCCAGCTTGAAAATGAAATGCGTTTACTGCAGAACCAAATTAGATAGTACTTGTAGATCCTAAGGAGCATCATATAGGGTTTAAAACAGAGCAAATAGTTGATCAATGAAGTGCACCACCCCGATGATAATGCGTTGATGCTTGCAATTTCTATAGAACAAAACTGAGACAATTATTGATCACAAGAAATTTTAAAATCTGTAGAATGATGTCTCCTCGAATGTTCCCAACAGTAGCTCCCGGACCATTTGATTTCAAGCAAGACAGGAGAAGGATGCAGACAACCATGTACTAAGAGAGTGAGTTCCTGATGTCTAAATCAACGTTACCTGGAGCCATTATCACCCAGGCCATGCAGCCAAACAATTGTAGCCTGGTGCTTGCCTTTAGGCCTAACCACATATGTCCTCCCAAAGTCAAATGTTCTCCTTGCTCCTCTACTTCCTGGAAATTTTATCCAGGTTAGGGGTGGAATGGAACGAGCATTACAGTGAAATGCAGGCAAGCGCCATTGATGAATAGTGCAAAACAAGAAAATACTTGCGGGAGAAAGAAATGTTGGTACTAACCAGAACCCATTGAAGAATTTGTGTAACTCATGTCTGGCTGCCAGAAATGGAATTAATGCACCCTCCAGTATTCAAGGCCACTTACTACTGTAAGAATTAGTGATAAACTCAGGACGGTCGGTGGTGCTATGAGGAGAAACACAAAATGATATCGAGGTATTTATACCCAAAACTCTAAGAGCAGGTTGAAGACGGAATAAAACATGTGAATATGCAACACAGTATGTGAGAAACAGCTACGCATTGTGCCTAAAACCGCCTAGAAACTCAAAAAGATAGAAAGAGCATCATCTATGAAAAGGAGAGGTAAAGACAAGGACAAAAGCAGGCAATCTTTTCATCAGCAGAGGGGAAAAGGGAATCAAAGCAGGAAGGGGAAATACAGAGCACATTCATCCAACCATTCCATTCCCATGAGAGAGCGAAACCCCCAGCTTGGAAATGGAGGGCTCTAGATTTACTACAGCACAAAGAAGAGAATCTATGCTTGTGGGCAGTGGCTATTCTCCATAAATAAAGTAAACCCACATCTACAACTCAAGAATATTGCTGAAAACAAGAAAGAGAATAATCCAATTTGGTAAAAAGAAAATATCTTTTCTCGCAATCATTTGTTTATGCATTTCTTCTTTTTTCTTTATTTCTGATGATTGATGGATACCCATTATCTTCAAAGTGAAGTTCAACTGTCCAATCTAACATCATTGTGGTATAGCACAAATCTGGACAATAATAATGGGAAGAAGAATAATCAACCATTTCGAAAAAGACTCTCATCACTAGCTAGTAGCTAGCTACCTCATACCATTAATTTCTAGCCATGCATATATATTATACACACGCTGATAATACTTACTGAAAAGATTGATGATTAATCAAAATTCCTGGACACTACACACACACACATATATATATATATGTAGATATAGAAAGAGAGTGTGAAAGATTCGCATTCGGGATGAGCAGTATTACTAATTAGTACGTAATTAAGTACCTGGAGTTCTTGGGTGGTGGAAGGGACAACATCGGAAAAAGCATATGAACTTTTTATCATCCCATCTGCACTTTTCTTTTCTTTCTTGTTTTTGTATCTCTTAGCTTTGCTTTGCTGCTTGCCACTTGCACTTTGGTAATGTTCAAGTTTCCTCAAAGTCTTTGCATTCATTCATTGTTTCGTTGGTTTTGTAATTTTTTTTGTAGGTTTATTACTACAATTCATGATGAATTCAAAGACTATCACAGCCTGAGTACATCCCACCGAACTCTCTCTCTCTCTCTCTCTTTCTCGGCTCTGTGCCTTCTTTTAAATTTTCACCTCTGTCATTTTGGTGCTTTTGACCTCATCAGTTTGATTTTTTTTTTTCCTTCTGAACTTGTTGATAAAGGATGTCATAAATGCGACTAATGGATTGGAAAAAAACATCATTAATGAACTGACATCTCTATGCAATAAGAAGAGATTACAAAGAAAGAAAATATGAAATAGCATCTGAGCTGTCCATGCTTTCTACAAATTGGGCATCCCACTATTTTAATGATATATAAATGCAAAAATAATTGGTGAAAAACTACTCTTAATTTTCTTTTTTGCATGGGGGTGATGAAGGAGATACAGCTCTCAACTGTACAAATGATGATGGAGCATTACTTTCTTTAGGCTAAATGTGTACTGTAGGAAATGTGTGTGTGTTTTTAATGATGATTATATATAATCATTTTAAGGAAATGAACACTTACATTTTACAACTCCAATGAGTGTTTGATGACAACGTGTAATTAAAGTCCCAACTATTTCATACTAACTATGTTTCAATAAAATGGAAAGGAAAAAAAAGGGTGATATAGCCCTGATTAGACATATTGGTATCTCGCCATCTTACTGGTTAAAGAATTGATATGTGCTCAGCTTTGGCTTCTCTTATCGTTATTTTCACTTTTTTCCATCTTAAGAAATTGAATATTTTCCAATTTCTGATTGTAGTATATAGGCCTAGCTCCGTTTGTTTTCTTGTCGGCTATTTTTCAACTTTGTAATGGCACACCAATGCCTGCTCAGGGGGTGGTCCGTGGAGAATGGATCTCGTGGCACACGTTGGCCCACATTTTTCAGTGACTTGGGCCCATGGGACGTCATTGCACAACTCTTAGAAGGTAAAAGGCCTAAAGTCTCCAATTTCTTTTTTTTTTTTTTTTTTAAAATTTCCCATTTCCCCTTTTATTATTATTATTATTTTTATGGTTATTTTTTATAATCTAATCTATCTTATTCTACAAGAAGAAAAAGTCTAAAGAAACTATATAAGAGACTAACAAAGGTGCACAAACTCGACTAGCTCAAAGAGGTGCTCTTACATTTCTTGGGGTTAAATTTTTTCACTACAGATAGATAGAATTCGAACTTTCTGACCTCCAATTCAAAAAGGGATTTAATGCCCTTTTTAGTGGCCACTGGGCAGTGGTTCCCTTCTATTTATTATTTGATCCCTTCCTTGTCGAGAAATGTTTTGAATAACCTCTAATCAATTGCGGAAATGCACAATCCTCGATGCTTAGCACTAAGCAATTATTTTTTGGTTGCAAAGTCTGTATGTAGATCTCTAAGTATGATAGATAGAATCACAACCCCATCACTAACTTGCAAAGTTTTCTTTTGACATCATCATTAACTAGTTGACCTGAATTCAGAAATTATTGGTAACGTGTAGCATCATGATTGGACCAATCTGCAAAAGAGCATCTGATGATGTTCGTGTATTCCATTTTCCCTCCTTTTTGGGGAGATATTTTTCACTCGTATCTTTAGCAATTAGCATGTCAACTCCACTTTCCTCCCAACCCCCCCCCCCCAAAAAAAAAAAAAAAAAAAAAAACACCCCCATGTAGAAGTAGAGCAAAAAGAAGAATCCACGGCTGTTCATTCTCAAAGTTTAGTGTTTATTTTAGCTCTCGACAACATTTGTGCTGCTGGCACTAACTTTATTTTGTCCAGATAGTACCTGTCAATGATTCAAATTGGGAAATTTTGCACAAGAGATATATACGCGATCCCTAAATAATGAAGGATTGCTTTCAACTTGTAAATGATAGCTGCCTTTTTCCTGATTCTATTTTAATCTTCACCGCCACTATGAGTTAATTATTAGCTTTATGAGTAGAGATATCTGCAATATTTATTGGAGCTTACGTACCACACGAATGTTGTCACGTTGATGACTTCAAATTTACTCATCCAATTGACCTTCACATTTCAAACACTCGCTGTAATTTACGCATTGCAATTTGAAATGAGACGGTAAATTTTGAAATTGAGTGTATACACTTACTCATTAAGAAAGAAATTTTACAACTGGAGCTCACCCCCTTGGCTAATGAGATTTACCATTAGTTAGCAACCAAAAAGTTTTCTGAAGGTTAAAAAAAAACAAAAAGGCTAACAATCGAAACAACTATCTTTTTATTTTACATGCATCACATCACAAAAAAGTACTGCAATATCATTCTAAAGATGTTCTCCCAAAATAAACCCTAAATTCCTCTAGACTTTCTTCAAATAATCTTCTATCCAAATAAGCCCTAAATTGGTTATATCTGCACCTTTATTCTCTCATCTATGCAGTCGAGTATTACTCTAGAAGTTCCTTGTCTTAGGCCCTATTTGATAATGCAATCAGCACTTAAATTTATTGAGTTCAAACCTTAATATGTTTAAACATGTTTGATGACCAAAAACAAAAAGTTTTAATCAATTGAATGGTTCTGAATTGTTTAAGCAAAACTTATTCAAAACAATAAATGATAAACTGTTTACGTATCACTTAATACAAAACATGCTCAAATATTAGGATTTTAATATTTAACAATTCTGTAACTTAACAGGTTCAAATTTCAGATTTCAAACTTTAATTTTATCAGACGCGTCATTAGTATCAGAATTTTAAGTGAAAAGAAAAGACTAACTAGAATCCGAAAAAATAACCTTACCTAAATCCAGGCTGCATTTGGGCCTCTACCATGACTTGAGAACTAACCCGTAGCCGAGTACATGTATGAAAGAATGAATCAAAAAGAGCCGAACGAAAAAAAAAAATCCAAATTAACCTGTATATGATAATCCAAATTGTTTTTGAATTTGGAAAATGAATATATTACAAAACGGATCTATTTCTAAGGATTGCTATCATTTTCAAGTGTTCTCATGCGACGATGTTGATCATGCAGTAAATTGATGGAGGAGAAACGTGGAATAAAAGATCTACTCATTCACATGTAGCTTTTCTGGGACAACGTATTTTTGTTCGAATATATAAATGGACGGACAGGCTTCATTCTCTATCACATCCTAATGAAATTTCTAGCCCTAGCTCCGTTCTTTGGAGATTCCTTAGCCTCTGAACCCGCGGGTCCTGGAGCTGGTAGGATGCTTTGTGTTGGCCTATAAAAGGCGCCGTGCTCGGCTGCAACCGTGTCTAGTCTAAGGCCTATCGTCCAAATAACATCAGAAATTTCCTTTCAACAGTAAATAATAAATACACAGAATATAAGGTAATTTCACAGGTTTATCCGAAAAGCAATTGCTACCACAGGTAATTCCTTTCAACAGTAATTACACAGATTCAGAAATTTCCTACTACGCCGTAATAGACCCACTGCAACGGAGCGTGCATGATTCTGCTGCCAACGGATGGACGAACGATTGGTATGGCTAGTCATTAATTCCTAGAGATCAGTAGTAAAATTAACTTTATGTGTGAAAAACGTCCAATATATATTTAAATATAAATTAAAAAAAAAAGGAAGAAGAAGGAGAAGGTTGTAGGAAAGGACGAAGTTACCTACTCCGAGGGTGACTGATTGAGTCCACCATCCGGTCATCAGGCACAGTTTTGCCTTTGGGGAGCTCAAAACTGCTGTAATTATTTCCCAATGGGGTCTTGAAACTGGGTCGCTTCTTGTAGACCAAAATGCAGAAGAACCACCGAAAGCATTGGAGTCACTGTCCAAAGACTCTAAACACCAAAGCAAAGGGAATTAGGAATTATACGCATTGATTAAGACGGGAGAACCATAAAGTGAGGTGATTCATCTAGAAGGAAATGCGGTGGCGATGTCTTGCTATTTCTTCTTCTTCTGTGGCATTTGGCACGGAACGGATTTGTCGAACCAATTCCACCTCGATTCTCATTTCTCCAAAATCACCCGCCTAAGTTGCCTTTTCAAAAGCTTTCCGTGCTAATACACAAAAGGCAATTCGCAAATACAAAAAAACCTTCTCACGTAACCCAAAAGGCAATTTGCAAACGCAAAACCTTTCCACGTAATCCTGAGTGGTCGGCTGCGTCGTCTTTGCTCCAATCTCTCCCCAGCCGCACCTAGGGCTGTCAACGGGCCGGATCCGGGCCAGAATTCATTATTCCGGACTCGGACCAAATTACTATATCGACCCGGATCCGACCCGTTTATCCGACGGGTCTTTTATTCTATGTTCCGGATCCGGGTCGGGTCTACCCGAACAAATTTAGCAAAATTTATAATTTCTAATAAAAATGAGGAAAAAATATATTTGTAAACTAATTTCTAACTAATGCAAAGAAAAAACCAAATAAGAAAAGAAATCAAATTGACTTTACTCAAATACATCACCCTAATCAAATTATATTGATAAATATATATTTTTAAAATTATTAATTCATTTATATCGGGATCCGGATCTAATACGGGTCGGAATACTATATTCCGTATCCGACCCGTTTTTTGTTTGACAAAACGGATCCGGATCCGGATACGGGAAACGAAATTAAATCTCTACCCATACCCGCAATAATTTCACAGATCCGGTCCGGATCCGGATCTAGACCCGACCTATTGACAGGCCTAGCCGCACCCCACCTTTGTTTTCCTAGTAGCTCCGACACTGTTGAATTTCTACCAGAGTCTGAGTCAGAAAGCTTATAAGATGACTAAATAAGACGGTAGCCATTTGGATTGCGTATTTCAGGAGTTTTTGTGGGAAAAGATTGAGGTATAACGCTATATTGCAGAGACTAGTGCGTGATATTAAAAGATCATAATCATAGAGAAACATGTATCAAAAAACTTATCCAGAAAACATACAATCCAAACGGGTTATTAAAAGCATTAGGCCGCCATGCATCAAAACATGAACAATTCCCAAGGTCATACATAAGCATTAAGCCGCAATGCATCAGGATTTGTCCAACTCCCTAGGCTTGCAAAAGTAGGTCTGCGATTGGCCCATTTTCTTTCCACATTTAACCTTTCCTTTGTCCTTTCTGATTTTGGGGAAAGGTTTGATTCGGAGGTGGATTTGATTGCATCCTTTCCTCTTTTATTTTTTTTCCCATTTAATGACACCTCAATTTCAATGGATCGTCTCATAAAGTACCAATGTCAATTACAAATGAACCAATTGTAGCCATTGATTATTTGACTTGCACTAAAAAAAAGTCAAAGAGTCCGTAATTCCCATGGATGACCAGCCCATGCTTAAAATACCAAAAAAGTGTATAAAGAAAAATTTGTCAGACTCAATTGTTGCCAAAGCAACCTTCAGAAGAACATACTTTTCAGAAGTGAACAAAACACAAAGCTTTCACATCCTGCTGAATTTGCTAGATCCTCTCATCATCTCTTTTGCCGGCTCATTGCAGAATCCGACTAGTGATGCTCATCATCAGAATGCCCTTCAGGATCTCCTCCGTGACCAACTACTTCTAACTGTGTACAAGAAAAATATTTTTAACAAATTAACCACAATAACTAAGCCATGGAGTCATGTCCTTGTGGAGCCAATAAAATCCCATTTGTAATCCCATCCATTACATTTACATGTCGGTCTTCACATGATGAAGCTAATCATAGCAACTAAGGCCTGGACATACCATCAACAAAATTTTATATTGGTCATATAAATGTATCAGACAAAAGGATGGGCAAATTACTCAATCGTTCCTTTAGAGTTGACCTTGGAAAATTTGAGAAACAAGAAGCTACTTAATTTCCTTAACCATAAAAATCAAAACTGATCCCATCAAGTTGACTAATTCTAACCACAACAAATAATTTCTTTTACTCTGTCTTTATCAATGCAAATAAGTGGACAAAAGAAGCACTCAAATTTGCATGTCAGCATACATCTTCACACGTATCTGCTTCAAAATATAATCAATATTAAAATTCTCAATTCCAGATTTATCATGCTACTCACCACAAAATATTGTGAGCACACTGGGCACTCATGCGGCTTATCCTTCTCAAGCCAGAACCATACAACGTCGTGCTCATCTTCTGTTAAAGGAGAAGACAATAAAATTATGCAGAAGTGAACATTACAACTTAGAGAAACTGCATTAAAATTCACTTAAATTCTTCCTTTTCCGTGACTTTCCATTTTGAGAATCGACTATTACTGGTTCATCATAAACTGAAAAAGGAGGTAAGTTACAAGGACTTACCGCCTTCACCTCCTGGGCATCCAACAATTCTTTTGTTATAGACAGATTGAATGACTGCAGGTGCTTCCTGCAAGCGAGCAAGGCACAAAAATTGCATCAATATTGACAGTTCCAAGCATCAAAACAAATAGAACACAATCAAGTGCTACACAAATGAATTCATCAAAGACAGATTCTAAATTGAACAGCCAATGAACACTATTAAAGATTATACTTCAGAATTGGATAATGGATTTTCAACTAAAACCCAAAACTAAGTATCAAATACGCTTCAACTAAATTGAGGATAACTGAATGTGAAAGACAAGTGAAAGCTGCTTCAACTAAACTGAGGATAACTGAATGTGAAAGACAAGTGAAAGCTCCTAAGTCCCTCAGCCTACCCTTCCATTTCCTTAGGCTTAATAAATTTCAATGTAAAATTAAGTAAAACTTTCTTTCCCTCTTCATCAAGCTTGAAATGCATATAATTATGATAGCCCCTTTCTTTCTTCCCCTCTTTCTGGCTTAACTGCTCAGAACAACTGTCTCCTTGCATAGTCCCCCTAACCCCAACCTTCCTTGCGTATCCCATCAATTGGGACAGCTTTTGTGAGGGCCTCTCATTCATTCATTACATATGACATGAAAAGGAAAGAACAAGTTATTAAAACACAGATTTCTCTAATCATAATCAGTGTTAACTGGGTAGATTAGGTCCACTCACTCACATTAACCCAATAACAGTACCTAATCTTCATCAAAGATTATAAGCAAATATGTAGAACGTAACTCCGGCAAACTACATAAACCAAATTAACAAGTCATTATCCTAACTATTTGGTATAAGCTAGATGGTCACATTTACCCATGCAACTTCATTTCCATCACATGATTGCAATGCTACTCTTGGAATTAAGGAAATTTCTATTACCCAAGCAGCAACTTCAATTCCACTAGATTTGCAGTTTGAAAGCTGTGGAACTCTTAAAGACAATTGCAATAAAGTTCCAAGGGTCTCAGAATAGATCAAGGACAATGAGCTTCTAATCATGGGAGACATGGCATCAGACCACAATGTAATGTATAAGGATGCAATGTAGGATTGCAGACCAAAATTTACTACATTCATACCTTTTGTTAAAGTTTAAATGAACACCCCTTCAGCCGAAAACCCACCACATTTGACATTGATGAACAGACAGCAATAGCTAAGTAAAAGAACTCCAATACATAGTTCTGAATATAAATCAAGATCTGCATCAATATCACTACTATTCACAGTTTTGCCATGTTTGAACAGTTACCAAGCACATATTCAATTATTTAAAATCACTTCAAGGTCATCTCACATCTACAGCAAGTAAATTTCTTTAAAGATGATTCACTGGTTCTTAAATATAATGGAATCAAGTCAAGCCATTTTTAATCAATGCTGTGCTAACACAAACAACAAAAATACGAATGAACATCGGAAACAGTGCTAAGCAGGTATGGAACCACTGGTTCAAGGAATTTAAACGAGTCTTACTTCTAACAATAATTAAAAATGTATTTGACAGATGAATAAGTTATAATTTATTTTATATTCACCTAGACCAATAAGGCATCCTACATATACCATGCCACAATAATTCTTTTGTTAATTCAGAGCCACCAGTAAGTGTTGTACAGACTAGCTAATTCGAAGCCAATCCCAGCATTTCAATCCTTGAATAACAACAATAGCAATATAAGCAACTACAGCTTAACCAAAAACAATGAGATAAGCTGAAAAAATTACTTGAAAGCAAAAACATGAGACTGACCTTTGTACCAAAAGGACCAACGGGATAGTTGATTGCCAGAATATCCTTTCCCTAATCACAAAAAATAGAACAACTATCAACCATAGATGACACCTATCAATAAATTACACTCAACAGCAGAATTTCAGAACCTCAAATATGTCCCTTTAAAATAATAAAGCCAACAATAACTGACTTTCTACAAAAAAAAAATAATAATAAATAAAAGGAATTGTAAAAAAGAGTCTCACTTCAAGCTCAGCCTCAAGCTCTTCGCGCTCATGACCAGTCGCAATCGGCATTACATCCTCAACTGTCTTTTTCGTTGCCACATTTGCTACACCAAACAAAATTCAACACAAGTTTCACTCTTTTCTCCATTCAATCACAAACAAAGGCTTTATGAACGCGCACAAATGTAGAAGGAAAATGCCTGGTAGTAATCAGAGGGTGAATAGAAGATCCGACTGAAAAATTAGGGCTTGGATGGAAGCATACCAGTTTCAGTGGAGAACTGGCAAGAGAAGAGGGTGACGGATGGCCGAAATGACTCCGGAGATGAAGAGACGGCACCGGCGGCGGTGAATCGATGGGGCTTAGGAACCGATCGAGGAATAGACAAAGTTTTGAGCTGCAAAGAGACTAGTCTTCTCCACATGATTCTTCAGTGGTTGAGCTAGGGTTTTGTCGGTCCGATCTCAGGTCGCCCCAGTGGATAGGTAAAACGAGGTTTTTGGCTTCTTTTTTATCACTGTTTGTTCGTAGAAAGTCTCTTTTGTTTCGGCGAATTTGGAGAAATGAAAACGCTTGGGCTTAGAGAGAGCCCAGGTCAAGAGTGCGGAGAGAGCGGTACTCGCTCTCGCTGGCCGAAGGGATGGGTAGCCTGCCAGAGGCTGCGGCACTGCTCCCTCTCTGGGGTTTGACTCGCTCGTGCCACAAGTTTTTGCGCGTGTGCAGGCTCTCTCTGCTGAAATTCCTAAACTAACCTTGTTAAGTCAAAATATGGCAAAAAGCAAAAAAAAAAAGAAATCATTCCTTTCTCTCCCTATTTTCCTTTCTTTTATTCCCCTAATTTTGCTTCAAAGCAATATATAATCCTAGAAACTCAAACCATTTGATACTTT